TCGAAGAAGACGGGGCCGTCGGGTTTCATGGTGATTCGCCTCAGGGCGGCGGCTAGGGTTAGGGGTCTGGTTTGGGAGAGATGATAGACGAAGGGCTGTGTGGTTTGTGATAGGTGAAATGGGGTAAGGGGTGTTTGGTATATTAGATCAAGTCAATTATCCTGGGCCGTTGGATCAAGGATGATCAACGGCCCTGATCATCTCATATGCTCAAAACGGGGTCGTTTGGGTAAGTGGGCAGAACGGGTGGTCCAGGTTTAGGTGGGTCGGGTTCCGGGTTGCATCAAGGACCATTGGATCCCCTGATTTGAATGGCTGAGATTAGCCGTTATAAAACGGCGCCGTTCCTGAACCTGGTGAGCCTGGTCTTTGGACTGGGTTTGGCTTGTGATTTGGGCCGAATTTCTTTACAAAATTAGCCCTTTTCTTCTTCTTTTCAACTTGGCAAGCTTGGCCTCTCTTTCAATTACAGCCACATTTAAAATTAAAACACACTTAGACAATTTTGTACAATTACACACCTATTAATTAAAAGGCAAAATAAAATAAATTGCACACTTAAAAATAAAAATAACATAAATTACACACTTAAATAAAATTACACAATGACGAGGAGTAAAACCGCACACTTTCGCAATTTCCTTTCGATCGAATTACAATCAATTAACTCTGAAAGCGTACGATTAACTTCTAATGCATGCAACATATATTTTTTGCATTTTTTCATTTAATCACAACACGGTGAGCATTTACGGACCAAACAATTACCAAAAATTGTCCGTAAGTTCTCAAAAATTGTATCCGAAGGTAACTTGGCTTTTAATTTTCGATTTCTTTTGGAGTAATTTCCGTAAAGCAAAAATCACGTGCTCACAAAACCTCCAACTTGCAATTTTTCTATCTTGACTTCCTCCTTTTCCCTACAAGATATATGCAGGTCAGAAGATCACCCTACAAGAAAAAGAAGTCCAAGAAAGGTAATCAGGCCAACACAACAAATTCCAATAGACCAGCCAACACTGTGCTTGAAAAGTCCACTATTATGGATGCTCAATCATCCAGGACCATGGCTAAGGGACAAGGTGAGGAGCAGCAACTCAGCTCAGCGTGGCAGCGTGTCATCCCACAAGAAAGACAACTCCAAGAAAGGCAGTACCAGTGATATACGGTCACACTCAACCGAGCGTAATGTGCCAGGTACATCTGATGTGAATTTGAGCAGCGCCACAGCTAGGAGCAGGGCCCTGAGGAGCAGGAACTCGGGCATCGTAATGGATGCACAATCATCCCAGCAAGATGCCTCCCTTGCTGCTATGGTAACTGATGATGCAACCAGGAAGAAGGCTAGGGACAAGGCCTTGAAGAGCAGGAAGTCAGCTCCGCTGGGCATTGTATCATACCCCAAGAAAAGAAAAACTGGTGAAAACACTACCGGTACATCTATTTCTGATTTGAATGTGAGCAGCGCCACGGCTAGGGGCATGGTCTTGAGGAGCAGGGACTCGGGCATCGTACTGGATGCACAATCATCCCAGCAAGAGAGGCATCTTGCTGATGTGAATGCAACCATGAACAAGGAATTGAGGAGCAGGAACTCAGGCATCGTAATGGATGCACTATCATCCCAGCAAGATGCCTCTCTTACTGATGTGGTTACTGATGATGCAACCAGGAAGAAGGCTAGGGACAAGGCCCTGAAAAGCAGGAAATCAGCTCCGCAGGGCATTGTATCATACCCCAAAAAAAGAAAAACCGGTGACAACACTACCGGTACATCTATTTCTGATTTGAATGTAAGCAGCGCTACGGCTAGGGGCATGACCCTGAAGAGCAGGGACTCGGGCATCGTACTGGATGCACAATCATCCTAGCAAGAGAGGCATGTTGCTGATGTGTGAATGCAACCAGGAACAAGGCCTTGAGGAGCAGAAAATCAGCAGCTCCACAGGGCATCGTATCTGGGCAGTCACATGTAGTGGGTACAGAGCCTGAGCGTACATTGTTAGAAGATTATTCACCAGAGCAGCATTTAGGATCCCCGTCTGATCCAGGTATACGATCATTAATTCAATAACGAAATAATTACACCGTTATTTCCTCCCTTTGAATCGCTCATCTCTCTTATTTCTCTTTCAAGATTCACTCATCTCTCTTTTTCTTCATATATTATAGGTTTCCCAGCTAGCAGCGAAAAGCCATTCAAGTTCTTGATCTATGGCCGCACCGGCTGGATTGGTGGCATACTCGGCAAGCTCTGTGAAGATCGAGGCATAGACTACGAATACGGGTCGGATCGATTAGAAAAACGGAGCTATTTGGAATCCGACATATCCACCATCAAACCGACCCATGTATTCAATGCAGCTGGAATCACTGGCGGGCCTAACGTTGACTGGTGCGAATCCCATAAGGTGGAGACCATCAGAACTAATGTGGTCGGTACGTTAACACTTGCTGATGTTTGTAAAGAGAATGGCTTGATCCTTATCAACTATGCTACTGGATGCATATTTGAATACGATGTGGATCATCCGTTAGGGTCGGGTGTCGGGTTCAAGGAAGAGGACTCTCCTAATTTCACTGGATCTTTTTATTCCAAGACTAAAGCTATGGTGTCCCTGTGGGACTATACTGGGTAGTTGTTGTTGTTGTTGTTGTACTAAAGCTATGGTGAGGTCACTGGTGTTACATTTCTTGTTTTGTTCTTATTGTGCTTTTTTAGATCTATTAACTAATGCATTTTCTTGTATGGATCTAATGGATTTAAATTATATGCACTGATTTTACCTCTTAATAGCATGTTACTTACTGTTTATTGTTGGTGGTCACTGGTGTTACATTTCTTGTTTTGTTTTTATTGTGCTTTTTTAGATCTATTAACTAATGCATTTTCTTGTATGGATCTAATGGATTTAAATTATATACACTGATTTCACCTCTTAATAGCATGTTACTTACTGTTTATTGTTGGTTACTAATGAATGCTTATTAAGTATTGTATATATGATTACCTGATTGTATAAATTTTTATATTGTAACAATTAATGATCTAATGTGGATCCATATAAGTGATACCAACTTCTTGGAACTAAGCTAATTACCGTGTTGGCAACCAAATATTTGGCATTGGAATGAAATGGACATGAGAGAGCAGAATGTATATAGTGTGGATTTATGTAGCTGACTCAACTTATTTGAAACTGAGACGTAATTATTTCGTTGTTGAATTAATGATTGTATCATCTTTTCAGGTGGAGGAATTGTTGAAGAACTATGACAACGTCTGTACTTTACGAGTCAGGATGCCCATCTCCGCTGCCTTGACCGACCCCCGAAACTTCATCACCAAGATCACTCAGATACGAGAAGATAGTAGGCAACATCCCAAACGCAATGACAATCTTGGATGAACTTCTCCCAATATCCCTTGAGATGGCAAAGAGAGACCTGACTGGAATATGGAACTTCACTAATCCTGGAGTTGTTAGCAATAATGAGATTCTTGAAATGTACCGTGACAATGTCGACCCGAGCTTTAGCTGGAAGAATTTCACTCGTGAGGAGCAAGCAAAGGTCATTGTTGCTCCTAGCAATGAGCTTGATGCTTCAAAACTGAGCAAGGAATTCCCTGAAATGAAATCCATCAAAGAGTCCCTCATTGAGCGTGTTTTCAAGCCAAATAGGAAAACAGGAGTAGCTTGAAACATAGAGAAAATCTCAGATTTATTTTTTGTTTTGTCTTGTTCAATTAATCAACTATGTTTCAGTTCTAATAGCTACGGTTGGCTTGTCTTTTGTCTTGTCATTTTCTGGTTTGAGTTTCTTTGGGAAGATGTGAGCTCCCTATCATAGGAGGTTGAGGTGCAACTTTTTCCTTTGGGAAAATGATATGCCAATTGGATGATAGTAATCATGAAGTGAATATACTTTGTAGTTTGTCTTCTTTTTGTTCAAATTAGGTAAAATACTGGAAGACTTATCCTTCAAAGAAAAGCTTTACACAAAAGTCGGCATTGGGTGCAGTTTTTCGATTCGGTTTGTACACTCCTAATTATTTATATATGATGTCTAGTTGGGTAGCCTTTGATTTTACGGACTAAAGTAAATTAATTATACTTGATCTTACCATCATTCTCATTTTAATAGTCGAGCTAAACTAATTTGAAATTTAGGCGTCGTTGATTGATTGAACGAAATTATCGATACAGGCATTTTAAAAAATCTCTTTAACATACCAGAACTAATTAATGGCTTGTTAAAGATTAAAAAACTATTATTCTCCTGAATTTCAGTTTGTATAATTCCATAATGGGACCCGTTGAAGATAAAAAAATTCTACATATTAATTAAATTTTCCCGGTAAAGACTTACAAAATCAATAATCAGAGATCATTGTTCTAAACAAATGTTAATGACCGAGCATATCATTTTTGGCTGCTTTGAATTAGATCTATGTTGCGTGGAGTTTTCAAAAATATTGTCACATCAATATCAGACCCTCCAAAAATTAAATACGTTACCTTTGAAGAATCCGACACGAATAAAAGTGCCCTGGTCTTTCTTTTCTGAGTTTTACCAAATTTGTGACTCTTTGGATGTTTTTCACTCGTCTTACTACTATTTATACATTTTCAAAATGTAATAATAATTACATGAGTTGATTTACGATGAGTATTAGATTGAATTTCTTTTAAGAACGCCATAAACTCATGTCGTGATGAACTCGTTCTTGAATCATCATCAAATTAATAAGCAATAATATTATTCCCGTGACTTTATATAGAGATACTTGAATAGGACTTTATTAGTTCATTCTCGAGTTTCTGAATTTAAATATAGTGAAACGATAAACTTATTTCTTTAATGCGCTAGGTCCCGAGTATTAAAAATGAAAGTGGCAAAAAACACATGCAAAAAAGGCGAGGAATTATGGGAGAAAAAAGAAGTGGCTAACGTAATTTGAAGCGATTTTATTTTTATTACAAAGTGTAACAGACTTTTGTTTCTCTCTAAACACCACCAAGAGATTCATTTCCTCCTTTCTCTCTTCCCTCTCTTTCTCTTCTCATTTCTGCAACTTTCTGCAGAAATTTTCTGCACAGAGAGGGAGAGAGAAAGAGAGAAACCAAAAAAAAAGGGAAAAAAAGAAAGAAAAAAACAAGCTGGTCAGAGAAATATTGAAAAGTATTGAAAATAAAAATCACAAAAATAAAAATTGACGCTTTATTAAAGCAACCAAAATATATATTGTTTGGATAAATATTGGTGGTTTGGATATTTATCAACGTAAATTTTTCTCATGCAAACAAAAGCCAAGAAAAAGGTTCCATATTTTTTTTTTTTTTTTTTTTGCTATGAAATTATTTTTCTTGTACGTAATTGATAATTTTGTTGTATTTGGTTTTATGTTTAATGCAGGGTTTTCATTTGCATTAAAGAATTGGCTTTTGAATATCAAGAGTTCTTTTTATGTGATTATTCCTCTCCATTTTTTTAAAAAAAAATGGAAGGAATATCAGATAATGTGCATGGAGTTATATTAGCTATATCATCCAGTATTTTTATTGGGTCTAGCTTTGTTATTAAGAAGCAAGGTCTAAAGAAGGCTGGTGCAAATGGAAAACGAGCAGGTTTACTCTCTTTTTTTCATTATTTCATTAATTTTTTTTCATCATTTAATCTCTATTTCTTGAGTTTCTGTTAAATTTATTGGTTTCTTTAAGCAATGGGGTAGTTTTTTTTCCCCTTTTTGGTAACTGAGAAATCCCAAAGGCTAGTTCAGTCCGAAACTCGAGGAACAATTGGCTCGAACCCGTGACATGCGTCTAACCCAATGAGGTGGTTTATTTATTTCAATTATGGGAATATGATTAGTCCTTCGTGGAGAATTGTTATTTTTCTTGTATGTCTTATCCGGTTATAAAAACAGCCTTTTACAAAAATATAAGGTAGTCAATATAGTCCAACCGTTCCACGGTCCCCCTCTCCCTCTGCTCAATATAGTCCAACCACTCCACGGCCCCCTTCTCCCTCTACATAGCTAGGAGCTTTGTGTTTCGAGCTGACCTTTTTGCGCCTCTTATCATCCTTCATGCTAAGGCTCTAAGGGTTGATTAGCATGAGTTTCAGTGTTGTGACAAGTTTAGCATACTTGAAGAGGTTTTGAATATTAAAACACACACACACATAGTCTTCGTTTCGTCATGACCGTTCCTCGGTTTTAGACGATTTAGGGCCATAAAATAGAAATTCATGACGATTTTCAAATTTTCATATGCTATATAGTCCACACCATCTACAAGAATTCAGGAGACCGGCTCCTAATTCTGCTACCTGTTATTGCTTCTAAAGGAGACTTTGCTGTGCATAAGACCATATATTCTTGTAACTATATCTATTGATTTTAATTGATGCTAGGCAAATTAATCCTGTTATAATAATTACCAATTATGCTGAATTTTGAACAGGTTCAGGAGGCCACTCTTACTTGTTGGAACCTTGTTGGTGGGCTGGAATGTTATCTAGTAAGAGACATAACTCATCCCAAAAATTTTCTTATTTTTTACAGCTCTTGAGCATATAGTTGTTGTTGTATGAGTCCTTGAGCATATGATATTATGCGCCTGAGAAAACCTACATATATTATAGAACACAAAGTCCTTTTAGCAAGCACCTAAAACACTGTTTTTTTCCAGTAATTATACAGGTGGTTATATATATTTGTAATGCAGGTCAATATCTAACTTAAGAAATTTAACATTTGTAATGTGCTAACACTACCAGCACTATTGATATAGTAGGGCAGTGAACATTCTTATTCTTTTGACCTCAATAAATGCTGTAGAATTATGTTGCGAATTTTTCAAAATGCTACCGCAACCGTGTCGGATAATGCACTACTTTTGGAGGACCCGACATGGGCCCGACAACATTTTTGGAAAGTCCGAGCAACATAGCTGTAGAATTCTTGATTGATTGCCCATTCAATAGCTAAGACAACTGATATCTGATGTTAGAATGAGATTCAACATTTATGTTATTGGCAAAAGTAGGTCCGCGCCAGCATTTCATAGCTAATTCCGTACTTACGATTTATGACAATATCTCTATAGAACAACATCTCTATGTAATAAGCATTAACAATAAAAGCCAAGTTTTTCTCAGAACCGATGTTTATGCTATGTTATAATATATGTCCTCTATAACAGCACTTCACTATAAAAGGCTGTTATGCCCTTTTATAACAGCACTTCACTATAGCAACCCAAAAATATCGGAACAAACAAGGCTGTTATAGAGAGGTACCGCATATCATCATAGAATGAGAAAGACTAGACATTTGTCAAATATAATAAGTAACTTATGGGCAGGGTGAAAGTATCGATGACATTAACCTCTACAAAGACCTTGACTTAGAGAACATGCAGGAAGATGATGGAATACAGTAATTCCTAATTTGAAAGAAGTGATAAGCGCAATAATATGTAGTTCTAAAACATTTCAGGAACAGTCAGTTTTTTAGTTATATTTAACGCTAATCTTCTGATTTCTTATAGTGATTATTGGAGAGGGAGCTAACTTTGCTGCTTACGCATACGCCCCGGCAATACTTGTGACGCCCCTAGGAGCTTTAAGTATGATTGTAAGGTATGTGATTATGTAGTATAATTGGGGTTGGAATTGTTAATCAAAGAAGCTATTATTGGTTCAATACTGATATAACATTCATGTGCAGTGCAG